AAAGGGGCGACAGGAAAATGAACGCTGGTACTTGAGATGAGGAGGTGAGTATCTCCGGGACTCTCACACGAGGTGACTCATGACTCGTGATTCATGGGAGCCTCCACACAGCTGCTAATTTGGAAGTCCACCGCCCAATGATGCGAGAGAGAGAGAAAGTCAAGCAATATTAGTAAGCTATCGCCTAAGCATTCAATGGAATTGCTGTACTTACAAAGTTTTAAAGTAAATACAACATAAATTAATATGTTGAAGTCCTCAAAAAGTGCTAATTTTGAGAAAGCGCTCAGCCAGTCTGTGCCTGTTAAGAGAGAATATCTGTCTGTCTGTCTGTCGGTCGAAGATTGAAAATCAGACTCTTGGGACTAGCCTCACGCAAACTTTGCAGGGTGCGAATGGTCTGGGGGTATAGGACAGCCATAGGCTGGTCGGGGTCGTCATAATTCAAGAGATAACACCGTGCCAGATTCACATTCTGACCCCCACGATCATTTTTTTTTTGCGATCGCCAGTGTGAGAGACACACTGACCACGGGAGCCGGTCGGCCGAGCGGACAGCACGCTGGACTTGTGATCCTGTGGTCCTGGGTTCGATCCCAGGCGCCGGCGAGAAAGAATGGGCAGAGTTTCTTTCACCCTATGCCCCTGTTACCTAGCAGTAAAATAGGTACCTGCGTGTTAGTCAGCTGTCACGGGCTGCTTCCTGGGGGTGGAGGCCTGGTCGAGGACCGGGCCGCGGGGACACTAAAAAGCCCCGAAATCATCTCAAGATAACCTCAAGATAACCACCGTCAGGGTTCCACATACATGTTGCGATACTGAATGTTATCCAACTACGATGAATAACATCGCTTCGCTGCTACTATACGACGGCAGAACATCACTAGAGGCGACCCAAGATGTTCTAGCACTAGAACAGAGGTTGTAAACAGGAGCGGTTATAGCACTCTAGCCAGGGGGTGCCGCCCCCCCCCCCCCAGCCGCTACCACCACTAGATTGATGTTTTTTTTTTCTCTGACTGTGAGGTGTGGTAGAGGTCCTCTCGCTTCCACTGTGTGGAGGACCCTCGTATCCGGGTCTGGGTTCCCGGTTTATTCCGGAGCATATTGAACCCTTTTGAGGTTATTTTATTTGTCAATTACCTCATCATTATTCATCATCCTTCGTCTGGTCATTATCATTCGCCAGTTTCTCACTCCCTTATTTATCATCCTCTTAATTCATATTGTTTATTATTCTGCTTGTCCTTATCCTTATCAAATTTTTTACTTCCTTTTTCTTGCTACTTTCTTTCTGATTTCCCTCCTCTTCTTATTTCTTTTTCTCACTTTGCTCCTGCATCTCCTTTATCCCCCTCTTCCTTGTCCTTCTCTCCCTCTCACTTTTACTTCCCTGCCCTCCTACCCAGGCACTTAGGCTGGACGGTAGAGCGACGGTCTCGCTTCATGCTGGTCGACGTTCAATCCCCGACCGTCCAAATAGTTGGGCACCATTCCTTCCCCCCCGTCCCATCCCAAAATCCTTATATCCTGACCCATTTCCCAGTGCTATATAGTCGTAATGACTTGGCGCTTTTTCATGATGATTTCCTCAATTCCTTCTCATTCTCCTCCCCCTTCCTTCCTCCTCCTCCTCTTCGCTTGGCGCTTCTCCTCATAGTTCCCTCCGCCTCCATATCTCTCCCCGGTTCATTAAACAGGAGCCACAAATCCTGGCACCAATTTACCTGAGGAAGGTCGTGGCTGTGAGGTCCCGTATCTCCGCCTTCGTCTGAATGCTCACCAATATCTCAGATGCTATATCCTGCCCCGCGGTGACGCTCCGAACACACACACACACACACACACACACACACACACACACACAGACACACACACACAGACACACACACACAGACACACACACACACACACACACACACACAGACACACACACTCCGGTCTTTATCGACACACACACACACACACACACACACACACACACACACACACACACACACACACACACACACACACACACACACACACACAGAGCTCCGGTCTTTATCGCCTCGGAGGCTCATATATGGTTGATTGTGAACGAACTCGGTCAATACAAAAGAGACTATTGAGGGTGAGGAGATGACTATACCCCGTAATTTAATGCGGTCAGTATGACTTTTTCTATATAAATTTTTAAATAAACTGGAATGTTTTTCCCCTGGGAGTCAGATATCCCCGAATTGGAAGCTTCTGAGTGAATATGCCCGAAACGCTTTGCGTAATAGTGGCTTTAGGCATTGTATGTACTAGCTCTACCTATAAGTCAACCAATCTTTGTAAAAATTTATTGTATGTATGTACCTTACCTAAATAAACATTTTATTTTATTTTTTATAATATTGCCACAGATAGCTCAACTGAACGCAATTTCTTCCATTGGAAAGAGACACGGAATTTCTAAAGGCTATAAAATACATGTTTATATTCCCCTCTGGTGAGAGCATTATTGGCGGGCCGGGTTCGAACACCGGGCACTCTAGTCAAGGACACGTAATCGGACTCGGGGGAAAGTGGTTCAGGGGGCTTTGTTTACGTTCCGTTCCTGCCTAATTTCGTCTGATTATTGCCTCGGTAAGAAGGCTATATGTCCGTCTGAGCGCTGATGAGCCTGTCATGTGCGGGTAGAGGGTTGTTACACACACAAATCGGTGAATGGTCAGAAGGAGATGGGAAGAGAGACAGCCAGCCAGTAAAGACAGTTAGTTAATTAAACTATGGTGTCACACTCACACACACACACTCACACACTCTCACACTCACACACTCACACACACACACACACACACACACACACACACACACACACACACACACACACACACACACACACACACACGGGGGGGGGGGCCTGGTAGCCTGGTGGATAGCGCACAGGACTCGTAATTCTGTAGCGCGGGTTCGATTCCCGCACGAGGCAGAAACAAATGGGCAAAGTTTCTTTCACTTTGAATGCCCCTGTTACCTAGCAGTAAATAGGTACCTGGGAGTTAGTCAGCTGTCACGGGCTGCTTCCTGGGTTGTGTGTGGTGTGGAAAAAAAAGTAAGTAAACAGTTGATTGACAGTTGAGAGGAGGGCTGAAAGAGCAAAGCTCAACCCCCGCAAACACAACTAGGTGAATACACACACACACACACACACACACACACACACACACACACACACACACACACACACACACACACATCCCCAGGAAGCAGCCCATAGTGGCCGTTTAACTCCCAAGTACCTATTTATTGCTAGGTAAACAGGAGGACATTGGAAAGAAACTCTGCCCATTTGTTTCTGCCGCGGCCGGGAGTCGAACCCAAACCCCTTTAGTCCATGACTCCTGAACGCTATCCGCTCGACCGCGAGGACATGTTTGTGTGTATGCGGGCGCGCGGGCGTGAGCACCGCTGTAGGACGATCCTATTTAATATCTCATCTATCTTGACCATTATTCCAGGATCTGAAGAAACGCGGAATTAGACCCTCAAAATCAGCCTGTTTACACACTACCGTTATTTTCAGGGCGAGATGGAGCAGTTCACGATCAGTGGGTCGCCCGATGCCGTAGCGAAGCAGTGCAAACCTGAACCTATTCCAATCATCGATAAAACTCTGCAGGTAAGTCAGCCAGATATATATATATATATATATATATATATATATATATATATATATATATATATATATATATATATATATATATATATATATTTAACATTATTACCAGTTCGAAAATAGATAGAAGATAGACTATCGACGCCCTGGAAATTATTTTCGAACCCGAGTGAGCGTCAACCACTCTTGCATGTCGTCTGAGTACTACTGCTCAAGTACAGGAAACTGTGTGATATATACTTTTTTGTTTCATGTGTGTGTGTGTGTACCTATTGCTGTTGACATGCCTCCGGCTTCCTGTCCCCCCTCCGTCGAGATCACTATGCTGGTGGTGGTTGTCAAGAAAATTAAATTCCTGAAATGAGCTTCATTGCCCTTTATTGTTATTTTAAAGGACTGCGCGTTGAAGTCTTTTATTCTTGAAGCAATTCGTGTTAATGTTCATTGTTCTTGAAAGAATCCGTGTTAGCATCTATTCTTCTTAAAAGAATCCATGCTAACATCTATCGTCTAGAAACAGAGTTAACATCAATTTTATAGCTAAAAATCCGTGTTAATAGATATAGTTATTGAAAGAATATTTAATGTATTTAATGTGGCACGAGCATGAATAGCCCGTAATGGGGAACGAGGCTGTTATTGTTGTTCTTAGATTCATCTACTCGGAACAAAAAGTTGCAAGTAGGACGGTCTATGGTGAGCCCGTAGTGGACTTACCAAAGAAAAAGGGGGAGTAGGCTTATGTTAGGTTAGAGGATTTAAGTAAGTACTGTGAACGGGGAAGAGTCAATAGCAACAAAGCCAGGACTAAGGTTTATGTTGAGTAGGGTATATCTTGAGGTTATTTTGAGATGATTTCGGGGCTTATCGTCCCCGCGGCCCGGTCCTCGACCAGACCTTTTTTTTCACACCCCGAGGAAGAAGCCCGTAGCAGCTGTCTAACTCTCAGGTACCTATTTATTGCTAGGTGAACGGCTGCATCAGGGTGAAAGAAACTTAGCCCATTTGTTTCCGCCTCCACCGGGGATCAAACCCGGAACCTTACGACTACGAATCCGAAGCGCTGTACACTGAGCTGTCAGTCCCCACACACGCCCACACACACGCCCACACACACACACGCCCACACACACACACGCCCACACACACGCCCACACACACGCCCACACACACGCCCACACACACGCCCACACACACGCCCACACACACGCCCACACACACGCCCACACACACGCCCACTCACGCACCAAATAAAGTAATTAAACACACAGCATTGCCAATTTGACCCAAGCTCCTCTAAAGCTCTCGCTCACGAGACCAAATAATACCGAAATCATCTCAAGATAACCTCAAG